AGACTAAACAGGGATGGATTTTTGCCTCACTCCAAGTCTTGGTTTTTCTGCCCAGTCTGTTTCTACCCCTGTTTTTTTCTTAATCCTCAGAATCCATTTTCTTTCCACGGGGACCAATTCAACCCATGGTCGCCTTACCTGGGTATGGGGGAAACTCACCTCTTGTCTACAATGGGAAATAATATAAAGAGTTATGTAGTGTCTTGGTATCACAGCTTGTGGGAACCCCCAGTCCATCAAGTCTTTCCATGAACCATCTCCACCATATCTCATGTCCCATCTGCCATGCCTACCCTCATCTGTAACACATCCCTATGGTTCCCATGGATTTCTAAGGAATCTGTGGTACACCCTTGCCTCATCCGTTTTGGCTGGCCATTCTTTTACCTATTCCAGTATTTCCCCCCCACAGCTCTTTTAGGAATTCCCTTCTCCTTTACTGTATTAGAAGAAATGACAAATGCATCCTTATGTCTAAACATAAAACATATTTATTTTCTCTCATTTTTGGCACAAGCTAGTTTTTGTTCTCCATTAAGTACTTTGGAATGATAAGAGTTTACAGTACTGTATGTACATTTAAATTGCTGTGGCTCTTGTTATGGTAACATTGTTGTCCTAGCAACATTACTTGTGCAAATGGAAGGCCAGAGTTCACATGTGTGTTTCATACAAATTTTGGAAGACACAGGATGGATCAATTAGTCATCCATTTTATGTCATCCCACATAGAGTAACCTTTCATAAGTATTAACTGCACACCACTGAATATACTATGCCTGAAATGCTTACGAAAATGCTATTTTTAAAAAATCAAATGTTAAGATTGGACTCTAAAATACCTTTTTTTGTCCCTCATCCAAGGATATTTATCCTTTACACCACACCTGACACACATTGACTCTTTTTGAATCACCTAAGTGGTTACTAGGTATCACAGGTATAATATGTTCCCCATAGGAAGTGCTGCTTAATGAGTGGACGGCTACATTTTGTGCCATTATCAAGTGGTCTTCAGATGTAGGATGAGTTGAATTAATTCATTGTTGACAAGTGCAGACTTCAAAAGCACACTTAGCCATTGCACCTAACTGGATATCCAGTAGCATTCAAAGGCCCAACAAAACAATGTTAACTCCTCTGCTCCCTTGCACTGCTGATTAAAAAGTCATGCGCATATTCCATCAATCTGCCATTTCTTCCAATTGCTTTCCTCAGCCAATAAGCGTTACTCCTCTCTTATCCTGGATGAGTCTTAGCCAACTAACTGTTGTCCAAATTCTGAATTTGGCTGCATGATTGGTAAGTAATTGCACCATCCAGATCTGATGAAATTGAGACCTAGAACTGGGTGTCATCTTACTAACTCTTCTAGCAGCCTCACCTTAGAGCTAGTTGGAAAAAAATTCAAAATAGATTTTTGTCAGAAAAAGCTGTTTTGACTAAACCGATTTTTTTAATGAAATGGTTTTAATTAAATTTCCCATGAAAGAAAAAAACATTGAAATGATTTTTTTTTTGGAAACTTTTTTTTTGAAAATTCCAAATTTTTGTTTCAAAATTCCAAAATTTTATGATATAGGTTTTCATTTTTGTATTTTTACATTACATTACAACACAGACAGGAGACACTTTGATCTAGAAAATATATTTCAATCAGTACTGAGTGGCATCTGCCCTTAATTATTTTTAAAATAAAATAAAAATAGAATATTTCAAGTAATATATTGTCATGAAATAATGTAAAATAATAATTATAATTATAAAATATAAAAATGAGAAAAAACATGAAGTAAATTCCAAAATGAAATTTTTCCAATATGAAAAGTTTTGGAATTTTCATTTTGCAGGAAATTTTAAAATATTTGTTTCTGTTCCAAATTGGAACAAAACCAAAATTTTGAAATTTCCCCAGAAAAATGCAATTTCCGGGACAGGGTGATAATTTGCGAGGTTGGCCACAACAAAAGATGGGGGAGAGGGGGAGCATTAAGCAGACGCTGTACAAACCCTTCTTAAGGAATTCCTATCACCTTGCTTTCCAAATACACCAATAATGGACCCAAGATCTCCCTTCTAAACTTCACCCGCCAAGAAGTACAAAGACCCAATATGCAAATTGTAATTGGAAACTCCCTCAGCACTTCAGTGAGTGACACTGACTGAAACTCAAGCAGAGAAGATTTAACATTAGTTCTTTCCTACTCCACACCAAACCATGGTTCTGCTACCTGTGAGGCTGGTAATCCAGTCTGATTTGTGTACTCTTATTCATGGAGTAGCTGGAAAACTTTAGAAATTGTGAAACTTTTTATGCTGCAACTGAGAGGAGCCAACACAGATTACCCGGGCATTTCACCACTAGGGACAGTTGGTTGGAATTTTTCAGATACTATGGTGGAGGCCTCCTGCAAAGATATGAGTTTTTAATGTCATAATTGATCAGACTCAGAACAAGACTGCTCTCATCATCCCGGCATCAAAAACAAGCTTGAACTGGAAATTCAGATTTAGTTTCTTCACAAATTTCTTAATCAAATGCTAAATTAAACTATAATTAACCAAGTGTTAATGTTGGAGGGTAAAAGAGAGTGAAATGCCATCCACAGTTTCTGTAGAGGGATTGTGTTAGTAAACAGCTTCTGTGGATTAATCAATTATTTCGCAGAGTAGGTGGGTTCCATTTCAGATTAGTCATTTAGGGTTGAATCTAAGATAAATGGTAGCAGAGGACAGAGAATATATCTGTTTGTTCTGGTGAGTGGCAGAGTGCATAAGCCCTGACTCATTTTAATTTTAAATGCTTTGAATTTTAGCAAAGACAAAATGTTAATCAATGAGGAGACTGAAGTTATAGGCCACTAATGGCTCCTAAGTGAGACTAAGGTTACATCTTCACTAGGAATGCTGCACTGCTGTAGTGCTTCAGTGTAGGCACTCGCTACAGCGATGGGATGGGTTCTTATATCGCAGTGGTTAATGCACTTCCCCGAGAGGTAGTAATTGAGGCAATGGAAGAATTCTTCCATCAACCTAGCGCTGTCTACACCCAGGGGTAGGTTGGTTTAACTATGTCACTCAGGAGTGTGGATCTTTCACACTCCTGAGCGACCTAGCTGGGTCAACCTGACTCTTTAGTGTCAGCCTGGCCTGAGTATGTGTCACGTACACCATGCAGTGAAATCCCCATTGAAGTCATTAAGAGTTTTGCCATTGCCTTCAATGGGGCCCGGATTTCACCTTGGGAGATCAGAAGAAGGTGTAAGTGATGACAACACAGACTACGCTGGACTCACCTCCTCCTGACTTGTGCCCCGCTAAATTCCCTGTAAGCTGTGTGGCTGGGCAGTTGCCTATTAAGCCCAGCCTCACGCAGGGACACCTGTCCCTGCTGGCCCCAGCATGGACCTGACCTGCCCCAGACTTGACATGGCTGAGAGAGAGGACCCCCTCCCCCAACCCAGCCCCTGTATGGATCTGCCATGGCTGGGGGAGAGGTGCCTCACTTCCCCTCCCCCCCCCCAGCCAGGTGCTGCTGCGGGGAGAGAGAGCTGGGGGGAGTCCTCTCTCCCCACCGTAGCCCTGGGCAGTCTGCACCCCAAACTCCTCATCCCCGGCCCCACCTCGGAGCCCCCCCAATCCTCTGCCCCAGCCCTGAGCCCCGCTCCCACACTCCAAACCCCTCGGCCTCGCCCTCACCACATGAATTTTGTTACACATCACCTCCATATTGGTGCACATAACAAAATTCATTCCGTGCATGAGTGGGAAAAAATAAAGGAAACACTGGTCATCATGAGGCTTTTATTATTATTATTATTATTATTATTATTATTATTATTATTTGCATTAGAAGTAAGGCCAAACAGGTGTTTTCCATCTCTGTAGTCTATGGACCAAACTCTCTGCTGGTGTGACTCTGCTGAAGTTAGCAGAGAATTCGGCAATAGGTTTCTATAAGAAGGAGAAAATGTAGGCAGAATATCAGGAGAAGTTGCTGACAGTGAGATCTAGCAGCCTATGGAATAATCTGCCAAGGGACTTGATGGAAGCCACATTCCTTGACATATTTAAAACTAGCCTGGATGAAATCATAGGAAATGTATAATGAGGAACAATCATGCACTGGCAGGAAGATAACTGAATGAGAATGTTCCAGCTCTAGATTCTATGTACAGTAAACTACATTAGACACTTCAGTATCTTAAATCCAGTGTGACTTGCCTACATATAGATTGATTAAATAGAGGGTAATACATGTCTCATAAGTTTACTAAGTTAACCATGATCTTTTCTTGCAATACATCGTAGGCAACATAAATTATGTCAAAAATGCAATAACTAATGTGTGAATGGACATGTGATATTTCCATACATAGTTCATACAATAAGTTTTCTTCTTGCAATATTTCTTTTAACATGAATGGAGCTTTCATACAGTGTTTGAACAAATGTCTAAGCATATTTTCAAAGGTAACAAATTGAGAAAGGTTGGCCAAAGTTAATTGGACTGAAATGCTTTGGTCTAACTCAGGGGTAGGCAACCTATGGAACACGTGCCAAAGGCGGCACGCAAGCTGATTTTCAGTGGCACTCACACTGTCCAGGTCCTGGCCACCGGTCTGGGGGGCTCCGCATTTTAATTTAATTTTAAATGAAGCTTCTTAAACATTTTAAAAACCTTATTTACTTTACATACAACAATAGTTTAGTTATATATTATAGACTTATAGAAAGAGACTTTCTAAAAGCGTTAAAATGTATTACTGGCACGCAAAACCTTAAATTAGAGTGAATAAATGAAGACTCGGCACACCACTTCTGAAAGGTTGCCGACCCCTGGTCTAACTAAAGATTTTGGGTTCAATATAGAGGTATCTGGGTGAAATGTAAGGGTATGTGATATGCAGGAGGTCAGACTAGATGATCTAATAGTTCCTTCTGGCCTTATAATCTATGAAACGATGAAATTATAATATTTTTCTTCTTTGAATATCCAGTCCATGAGCTTAATAGAGATTGGGAACCCTTCCCAGAGTTTGGAGAATGTATGTCGCTGGGCCTATCTACAACAGAAGCCTGACACTGCACATGCAGAATATCATGACCATGCTATTTTTCTCACAAGGCAGGATTTTGGTCCATCTGGCATGCAAGGTAAGGTATATGCTGAGTGATAAAAAGGCTTATAAATATTACAGTTACTGATTGGGGTTTCTTTCATCATTCAGAAAAAGCTAATTTAGCTTAGGAGCCACTAACATTTATCCTTAGTGTGAGTATTTTGCCAAGTGCTATTTGTTTTCAGGTGACCTATGCTAGGAATGCATTCCTTTCTAACTGTTTCAGTCCCCATTGTTTTACCTCTCCATTTCAATAGCATTATTTTGGGGCACATGTAGGGTGACCAGACAGCAAGTGTGAAAAATCAGGATGGGGGAAGGGGGACAATAGGTGCCTATATAAGACAAAGCCCCAAATATCAGGACTGGCCCTATAAAATCAGGATATCTGGTCACCCTAGGAACATGTCTTTACTCTTATTCAAGCCAAAGAAATCTTATTGCTTTGATCACTATATGTAAGTTATATAAGGTGTGTATATTGCTTTGATCCCTGTATTTAAGGTAGGGGGTGTGGGTGGGTGTGTGTGGGTGTGTAAAATTATATATATATATATATAGGTTTTGCTAAGGAGTAGATTGTGCCTTAAGGCACAGCTCCAGAATAGTCATTGTAGTACTCCAGCAGGAGCTCCCAGAAATATTGTGCCTTAATAGATGCTTATTATTGAAGGGTCCTAGAACAGCATAGACAAGAGTAGCCCCTGCTTTTGCCCCTTTACAGGGCATAGCTTGTGCTTCCAGCTCCCTTGTGGAATCATCCTGTTGGCCGATTAGAGAACATGAGGCTCCTCCCCACTCCATTTGGATTGACTAGTGCCACTGTTGGCATTGGCCAAGAGCACTCTTGGTACCCATTGAGGACTTGAACTGTATGAAGCCCCTATGACTTCATGCTAGAGTAGAGTCCTTGTCCTCGCTCTCTGTACCCCTTCACAAGACAAGCTTCAGAATGGCCTTAAAGGAGATTACACTGAATTCTTGGTGAACTGTGAAAATAAATGTAATTGGTTCAACAGCCAGACTTCATGTCTTTTATAGAAGTGGGAGCACATGATTAAAAGTCCAGGCAGAGATCTCTTGTTACCTTTCAAAGCAATATTTCAGTTGTATCCAATCCATGCATGATCTAGGAAATTAATGTGCTTGTTCACATGGGATAATACTTGATTGACTTGGAGCTAGGTTTTATGTTTCTTCTAGATAGGCACCATGTACACCAACATAAAATGAATGTATTTATTCCTAGTGTGCATTGTCTTCAGTAGACAGGTGACTGGTTATCTGCCAGGTAGTGTAGTGTTGAACAAGGTGTAGTGAGTGTGCAAACATTTATGCCTAGAGTTGAATCTCAAATACTGTTACCTTCTTTTGTAAAGACCCATGTGTCTCAAGACTAAACAGCCTGCATTCACCCAAGAAAAATGGTTACTCAATATTATTTGAGAACAAGGAGAAATACTCTAGCGGCATTATAACGTAGTAGTGGCAATCTGGTCTACTGGTTTGAACATGGGGCTAGGAACCAGAAATTTTTAGGTTATAACCCCAGCTCTGAGTCATTATGGATATATCTACACTGGAATAAAAGATCTGCAGCATGGCTGTAGCTGCCCAGGTCAGCTGACTCGGACTTGTGGGGCTAAAAATCACCTTGTAGACATTCGGGCTCTGGGACCCTCCCCCATCATTGGATCCCAGAGCTCGGGCTCCAGTACAAGCCTGAATGTCTACACCCCACAGTCCGAGCCCCACAAGCTGGAGTCAGCTGACAGGGCCAGCTGGGGGTGTTTAATTGCTGTGTAGCCATACCCTGTGTGGCCTTGGAGAAGTCGTTCAGCCTTAGTGTGCCTGTTTCGCCATCTGTACAAAATGGAGATAATAATGCTTGCGTGCTGACATCACAGGGCTGTTATGAGGATTCAGTATTTAGGGCCAAGATTGTCCATAGTGTAGTTCATGACTGAATTTGGCCCTTAATATTCATTCAGTGCTTAAAATAATGTAAAGCACCACGTGGCTGTTAAGAACTCATTTTAAATATGAATAGTGTAAAGTGGGTCTAGGAGGACATGTTAGTTTAGGACATGTAGCACTATGCTTCTCCCTTTCTGGAAGCCTGATGATGACACTTCTGTAAGTACCACTTCTGTGCTGCTGCAAGACCACAAGTGCCCCAGCAGTAGAGATTAGATGAAAGTGTTGTATAAAGAGTTCTCATAAACATTCTCTCACCCAGATTCACTTATTTCTTGAGTCATGCTTTCTCTGTTTAGGCTATGCTCCAGTTACTGGAATGTGTCATCCTGTACGAAGTTGCACCCTCAACCATGAAGATGGTTTTTCCTCTGCATTTGTGGTGGCCCATGAAACTGGGCATGTGTAAGTACTTTAAAAGGTCCTATCTTATTATGTCTTTGATGCTGGGGACTGTTTGTGGCGTTGGGAAGGTGTGTCCTTGTGCTTAAGACACAAGACTAAAGAGTTAGGCCTAGATTCCATTCTTAGCACTGACAAAGAATTCCTTTGTGGCTTTGGACAAACCCATTAAACACACTCAGTTTTTGCAGCTGTAAAATGGAGGCATGCTTACCTATGTCACAGGCGCATTCTGAGGCTAAACTGATTAAGGCCTACAAAATGCATTCCGATCTCCTGGCAGAAGAGCAACGTATTTATTGTTATGCAAAATAATTTATTTGCTATAGTGGAAGACATGACTCTCGAAAGCAATTCTCAGGAAATATAGTCACGTCTTCTATGTGTGCATCACCTTCTAGTAATACCGTATAACACCTCATAGAGGGTACACTGTATGTTACAGCATAATAATATATGCCAAGAACTGAAGCTACATCCACTTCCTAATACATTCATTTGAAGGATACGACTATTTTGTTTGCTTGTGTAGTAAGAACCAGTGTCCAGGCAGGGAGCTGGGAAATCTTTTGTTATTTTAGGATGACTCAGTTTCTTCAGGAATAAAGCACATTCATTTAGATGCCCTCGTCTCCGCAGTGGAATCACAAATCCCAGAAGTCTTTTCACTAAACGGGGCTTTACTGTTCCTACATTAAGAACACTTGTCAGAGTCCGGTGAATCCAACAGTGCATATTAATTAAATAGGGACACAGAATTGATTCCTACATGTATTTAGTTCTCATATCACTAACCTTTGGCTTCAGCATTTCAGCAGCTAGGAACATGTGATCAGAATGGATGATACATCACTAAAGATGTCTTTAGCTTTTGAAATCACCTTTAGTCTGCACATGTTACCATACAGTTAGTTATCAGTGATATGTCTCCCGAAAGAAGACCCCAGTATCAGTCAAATTTCATTCTCAGAAAAAATATAGTAGAAACCCCTAACAAAGGGAAAGAGGGAAGATTGGTTTTGTTTTGTGTGTTTTTTTTAATAAAGCAAAAAGGAAAAAAAATTGCTGTTACTTGGGGTGGAAGTTTTAAAAGCTTCCTAAGTCACTTAAGAACCTAAGTCCCATTTACTTTCAGTGGGATTAAAGATCCTAAGCCACTTAGGGCTTTTGATTTTACCCTTGATGAAAATACGCTTGTTCTCCTATCTTCTGTTCTAGATTAGGCATGGAGCATGATGGCCAGGGCAACAGGTGTGGGGATGAGGTCCGAATGGGGAGCATCATGGCCCCTCTTGTCCAGGCTGCATTCCATCGCTTCCACTGGTCTCGCTGTAGCCAACAAGAGCTGAACAGATATCTACAGTGAGTAACTCATGAAGCTGACTCTGTCTTTGGCTAGGACGTTTTTAAAAGCCCGCCTGAGAGTCATATTTGAACTTTGTGCTTTTATTAGCTACTAAGACTGGGTTTTTAAAAAACCCCAAACCTCATCCTGCTGGGAACAAGACACTTTTCCAGGAGATGCAAATAACAAAGGCTCAGATTGACTATTCATTTAATTACAGCTATTATTGTTACTGAAATTTGATAATATGTACACTGTCATCCTAGAATCTGCAAGCAAATATCATTACTGGTCTTGTTACCAACTTGCTTCCTCCCACCCTGCAGCTGATAGAAAACCTGTCTCATTAATCTGAGTAACACTCTTCAGTTCTAAGGGTAGCTGGAGAATTGACTGCAACTCTGGTTGGTAGCAGTACGCATCAGCAGCATTTCCAACTACTAAAGCTGTGCTGAGCCAGTTGCATTGTAGTGTGATACTTAAGGAGGAAATTGTGCCCTTGGATGTGTGTGCAGGGCTCCCACTGACTTCAGTGACAGCCTTTCAAGAACACCAAAAGGAAGAATTTGGCCCTAAGGCTTTCTTTCTATGATTACTTTATCTTTAAATACCCTGTCATTACAAAGGCCAGTCCATTTCCCATGCTTTCTAACAGCCTCCTCTATGTTCCTTTCCTCTTTAAAGGGAAACCATCAACTTGAAACTTAGTTTCAAAAAGTGAATAAAAAAAAGAACTCCATCTGCTTCTGTGTCCTCCTGTCAATGGATGCGTTTTTCCTATTTTAAAAAAAATCTTTTTTTCCTCTCTGGTCGCTGTGTAAAAGACATACAAACAACAGGGGGAACCTATTAACTGACTATACCGGGAAAACTCTGAAAATGCCTAGAAAAAAGTTGCAAAATACACAAAATAAACCAATTAAAAAAACCCACTCTTTATTTTCTCACTTCTTTTTAAGTTACGATATATGAAGTCAATTTAATATACAGTCCTCAAATAAAGAACACATCATATTAAACTGATAAGAACAGACACTACACTTTGATCTTAGCTCCAAGTATATGAAGTGTTACTTCAATATGTAAAAAATTATGAGGGGAAAGTGTGATTTTTTTCCAATTAAAATCCCTTTAAGCTATTTGTGTTAAATAAAAGTAATCTGGCCTAGAGCTCTGATTTATATTTTAAGCACAGGGTACAGTAAAATGCTTCTATGAATAAAAATATTGCACAGATAAGAGAAGAGTATGTCATCTTGTTCTAAAGTAGATCTAGACTCAAAATTCTGTCCTTTGTTCACTGAGATCATTAGAATGACCTGAATAATTGCCAGATATAGGACACTCCTAGTCTTTCTACAGAATCCACAAGGAATTTGATCCTAAATGGACTTTTGGTTACCATTTTTCACAGCCAAAGAACTACTTTTGTGAATATGATGAATAATGGTAGAAAACATGAGAGGAAAATGATGGCCATAAAAACAGAGAAATGGGTTTGTTAAATTTAACTAATTTTGTGATGTCGCAAGATAATACTAGATTACATATGAACATAGCAGGGATACTGCCCACCATGTGACACTTGAGAAAGTAGCTTGGAAATTATGAAATTCACAGTTACACCATAGTCAACCATTACTTCTGGATCCTCTGTGCTCCAGGAGTCTTCTCCATGTATGCCTACAATGAACTTGAAACAATGTGTTTGCAGTGGGGACATACAAGTATTTAAGTTACCAGGAGAATCTGTAATAGGAACACCTCCTCTCACACACACACACTCTCACTCTCTCTCTCTCTCAGGATGGAACAGTCCTACGGTTTAATAAAGCAAAGGCCAAAAACTACATTTGCTTGTATGTGAACGTGCGTCTCCTGGTCTAGCGTCTAGGACTTTATTATGGAGCTCAGCAATATTCATGGGTGGCAGTCCTGAGTTTTGCTTCTAAAGCTTTACTTGAAAGGCAGCAGGCAAGAAGAAATTCCACAAATGGAAAATTAATTAAATCTTTTCTTTTCTTCTCAGCCTCATTTGTAGAGGATTCTTTCTCGATTCTTTTCAAATAGGGACTCTGGGGAGTTACAGAAATATACCTGCAAGCTAAATGGAAATGATAATGGAAAGACATAAGAAAAATAAAAGGTCGAATGCTGTCCCATGTTAAATGCAGATACAGCATGGTAAATACCATGTAAGCATAACTGAAATACTAACTGTTCTTTAGGAACCAGTAGCTGAGAAATTATACCCTGTATTTTGTTTGGAATGAAAATTTAAAGAAACCACAAATGCTATAAAAGTCTCACATTCCCGTCTGTTACTGTAATTTTTGCCTATTGCAGTTCCTATGATTGTCTGCGTGATGATCCTTTTGAACATGATTGGCCTTCCCTTCCCCAGCTGCCAGGAATTCACTACTCCATGAATGAGCAGTGCCGTTTTGATTTTGGTTTGGGCTACATGATGTGCACAGCTGTAAGTACTTAGCTGAGTTCTGCTGTTCCTCCTCCAGGAGTGTTGTAATTGTCCTTGAAATGGCCTTAATAAGGACATTATAGTTAGGGCTTCCGATCTTAGGTTTTAATGGATAAACACTGATAAACACACCCTGATGGGGGGGAAAAAGAAGAAATCAGCGATTATCCAATAAACACAGGGAAAACACCAGAAATGGTTACTTGCATCTAAGGGCTTGTCTACACAGAGCAGTAATGTGGACTATGGAGGTGTGATTTCTAAAGTGCACTAATGTGTTGCATATTAGTTGGTCCATGTAGACCCCACTTGTGTACACTAAAGGTTCTGCAATACACTTTAACCTAGTGCTACATTAAAGTGGACTAGGGAACATTACAAAGAAATTATTCATTACAGTATATACTGCTGTCATGAGTAATGTAATATATGTGACAGATATTGCAACTGCATGCAGTATCTTTGGGGAAACATTGGATTAAGGTTATGAATGATTTATGTATCGCTGTGGACCAGGGATTATATGCAGTTCTGATGGCTGGGAGGGTTGTATTTAGCTCCTCCAGGAAGTAATAACAGTAGGGGGTGATTAAGGTAAGTCACTCAGGTTGTAAACACCTCCAGAGGGCTACCACCCCCTGAGGAGGCTTGCATATCCTGGTTCGAATTGGGTTTTCCGGATACCAATAGACAAAGGAAGGGCTTTTGGCATAACAAAGCTTCTTTTAAACTAACTCTTTCTGATCCAGGACCTTCTCTCCAAGGGGAGCCCCAACCCTTGCAGAAGGGTTGGAAAGACTTTGGCCTGCTAGGGTCCCATAAGACTGATGGGTGACTCCTGGTGTGTTTAGTGTATGTTTAAATCTGTTTATTGTTTCTATTACATTTTCTCTGTAATGTTTTTGCCTTAAGAAAAAGGGTGCTTGCTTAGACAGAGCTGTGTGGTAACTTGTAACTGCTGGGAATACCCTGGTCAGAGCTCTTGGAGAGAAAGCACAGGTGCTGGCCTTTAGGCAGGTATCACAGTGTAAGTTAGGGACCTGTGCAGCCTAACTCACTCTCCCTCCCCCCTGTCAGAAGGAAGTGAGACAAGAGTCCCTACCCATAGAAAGATGATGGCTGGAGCCCTGACACCTGATTGGGCACGCCTGGAGTGGACCATGGAAGTGGGGAATATAGGTGAAATTACCCTGAAGCTGTGACAATATATATTACCCATTACAGTATATACAAAGAGAGAGCCTCCCCAAACCTCTAACGTTTGAACATCTACATAAAACTCAAAAATTGCTACCAATAAACCTTGAAAATGAAATTAATAAACCCTGAAAAACAGAAGCCCTAATTATAGTGAAGCTGCCATGAAGAATATTGTGTCCAGCTAATTATAAACAAGGAATAATACACTAACTTTGATGTGATAAGGAAACTCTTTTTAATCTTGTTGGGTCTTTTATTTTTTTTAATCAGAGGTCAAGAAATTATTATGCTCTAATTTCATTAGCAGTTCCAGGCTTGAAACACAAAGCCTGCTATGTCATTGAGTCTGCCACGCACAGTGTTGGTGTCTGCTTACTTCTTTTTTTGCAAAACTTCCACCTAGGCTAGAGAGAAACAATAATGGTTTTCATCTCTTGCTTGTTTAATGTTTCACGCTTACTGCTCACATAAGGCAAGATGCTGCATCTTGCACAAAAATAACCAATTTTATGGAAAGGATGATGTATTATTGTTCCTAATGTGGGCAAGGGGCGCTGAAGGCAGATAAGACCGTTTGCATGCACATTCAGTGAAGCAGTGGTCTCCCTTGTACCATGAACATAATACGTAAAGAGCATCTTTGAGGTCAGGCAGGATTAGTACAACTCCCTACTGGCTTGGCCTGAGGGTAGATGATCTTTTGAGACCTATGGTAGAGCTTTGCCTCCCACTTCCATCTCCTAAAAGTGGGACTAAACTGTAAGCTATGCAAAGAGGAGCTTCCAGGAGGTGTGGCAGCTGCTCACGCACAGTGAGAATTCTGGTTCGAAACTCATCAACGATAACATGCATGACAAACACAGCGACTCCCGACATTGAATAGGAGACTCTAAGCATCAGCTGTATTAGGATGTCTGGACATAATTCCGTTGATGCTACTCTGGGAGAAAGTCACTGGTATGTATTCTTTTGAATAGTACCTTCTTCAAATAACTTCTATTGACCTTGTGGCCGATCTGTGTTTGAGTGAAATGGGTGAATCTGTACTCTTTCAACTTCTGCATCAACTCTGTTCACTTTCCCACTAAGGTACCAGTCTCTCAGGGACCTGTGCAAATGGGGCCTTTGTTTGCAGCACCAATTCAGCATAGTGCTAAATCCAGCTTTGTGCTCCACAGGTGTCTTCAGCAAGGAAGAGGGCTTGGGCAGACCATTCACACACACACACACACACACACACACACACACACACACAACCCCTCCCCACAGCAGTAAAGCAGCGTGTGTACCTAGCACCCACGAGAGCAGTAGACAAGGAAACCATCTTGCCTTTGCCCACCACAGCCCCAACACAGTATATAACCTGTTAGCTAAGGTGTCTGGTCAGGCCCTTTGCTGGCTAGCAACCACAGTGAAGTCCTGGTCCATGACTTGGGCTCCTAGGCATTGCAGTGATACAGATAAATAATGTCTACTGCCATCTACCGCGTGCAGCTCATCACATGGTGGCTAATTGCCCTTGTCCATTCTATCCTGTGAACCCACTCTCACATTTCCAGCATCACTCCACTCAGGGCAGGATTTCACTACAAGAGTCAGTGATGTTGCATGAAAACTCCACTCAAATGTGACCTGGCCACAGAGATATTATTAAATGGTCCTTTATTACTCCATGATAACATCTGCCTCTTTTAAAGCTGGAAGAAAATAAACTGCAGAGAGTGTTTCTAATGGAATTCTGTCAGACAGCTCCAGAAACAACATATACTCTGCTTTTTTGTGTGTCCTAGTTCCGTACGTTTGATCCCTGCAAGCAGCTGTGGTGTAGCCATCCCGATAACCCTTATTTCTGCAAAACAAAGAAGGGACCGCCACTGGATGGGACTATGTGCGCGCCTGGAAAGGTGAGACTATATATCACTTTTTTTCATGCTATTGGGCGTACAGGTATGTGTTCACGTATTTGGGGGATTTCATCAGAGAATCAAGGAACAAGATGGCGTTGTTCTTTCTGGTTTGACCTTCTCTGAATTTGTGTGCGATCTGGTCCTCTCATTTCAGAGGCAATACAAAAAAGGACCACAACAGATAATCTGAGCTGTGAAGAAAAGTCGAGAGAGGAAAATAAGGTTGCAGCAACATGAGGTCTGGAGCTAGAGATTTGTGCTGATCTGTTCTATGTAACATCTGTCTAGCGGTCTAACCTGTTTTCAGTACCAGTCCTTGTAGTCTGTAGGCATCGATAGATCAGTACTTATTTGCAGATCATAATGATACGGTCACAAGAAGAGTTATTCATTTGCAAACAATCTGTCATATAAGTGTGGTTGTGTTTAGACCACTAGTGATGCTTATTGGCAGCCATGGCAACAGAAAGCAATAAGATTTCGAAGATTACAGTTGAACTAAGCCCACAGTAACGATAGTCAGAGCAGCCCAAATGAAAGTATAAGCGTGATGGGGAAAGCACAGCAGGTGTGGGAATTCAGGCTGGATACACGAGAGAGGTTGCCTTAGCTTTTGAGTCTTTTGACAGTCGCTTCAAAAGAGGATGGGATTATGAGACCTATTCAAGGGCACCAATATGAGAGCAACTAGTGACTATTATGAGGGCAGAAGCCAGAGCCCATTGTGAATGCTATTGGGGAGGGGAAATATTGGACGCTTATTTTAGTGGTTCGCAGGGAGCAAAGGGAAATATTAGGAGTTTTGGAAGTGGCGAGAGAAACTTACAGATGGCAAAGGTTTGGGCTAGTTCCTATTCTTTTGAAACCACACTTTATTCAGCCCTACCATATAGTAATTATCAGTTACCCTTTTATAGACCTAACTGCATGCTCATTAAGGGTCTGATCCCAAAACCCATTAACGGTAATGGAAACACTCCTCCTGTCATCCCTGGGCTTTGGATCAATCAGTCTATACAATGACCCTTTCGGGGCAGTGTTACCACTTGGAAAGGATTTTTCTAGAGGGTGTTAAAAGCAACATACCATTTCCCCAGTGGACAGCATAATTTATACAAGTAAATCATGTTAGCAGCTGCTGCTGTGGTTTGAACCCTCTCTTTTTGGATAAAAATGTCATGTGGTTCTAAATTCTTTTCCCCTGTACACTGTGGTCTGCTGGAACCCAATCTCTTCTCTTTTTCTCCTCCCCAGATGATTCCTATTAATTAACACCATATTGCCTGTGGGAAAAGTAGCAATAAAACTTGAAAAATTAAACCCCAAACCTAAGACAACATTTTTAGTTAATTAGCCAGGATGTTATTTTTGGTTAAAAATATAAAATTAGCTATTTATGCAATTAATAAATCTAACAAAAATGCAGTATTGAACATAATCTATACTGGAAAATGGTTATTTGTTTAACTGTTATTACTGTATAGCACAACATTTGAATGTCAAAATAATTGAATAAATATGATAAAAAAATGAGTTTCATTCCAAATATGTTGTAGACAGGCTTTTGAATGGACAAAGCACTTCAGAACAAACTTTACTAATTGAACCTGCCTTGGTTGGTGAGAAGGATGGAGGTCTCTTCTATTTCTCTTTTCTATGACTGTAGTTAAGCATTTTTATGTTACCAGATTGCTAGTGAGCAGAGAGAGAAAGAGAACTGGCAAATGGGAGCCATCCATAATAACTAGCAGGAGAAGGTTGAGTTTTGACTGCCATCAAAATTATACCCGTTGGTTATATGGAAGATAATAGTTATACAGTTATACCATAGATAGTAAGTGAATTGTCTGTTGTTCTCTCACCGAACTGGCACCTTTTGGAACAGCAGTTACTACTGTATGCATTTGGGATAAAGTCCTGGCTTCACTGAAGACAACAGCAAAGCTCCCATTTCACCCTTGGTAGTTTACTTCATTAGACAATTAGTTAAGGCAAGGAGAGCTGCCATTTTGTCACTTGTTAAGTGTTCAACATTCCTTTCTTGAGTCCTACCTTGAAGCACGTCAGCCTTTAATAATTTGGAGCTTCATCTGGAAGAAGGTTAAAAAAACCCAGAACTTCATCTTTTCTCTGACAATAAAAACTACTTTGCTTGGTCTTCCATGTTTCACATGGATGGACAGAATACACGTGTCTAAGGTCTGCAATATGATTTTGCATTAAATGTTTTTATGAAACCAGAGAAAAATATAATTATTTTCCTTTTGCTAGCTCTCCCTTCCTCATGGCCCATCAGTTCATTTTAGTACTTCGCACAAAAATTGAAAGAAACAAAGGACATTAACAAATTATAATAGCCTTGCGCTTCCAACCAGATAGTTAAGGATCAGCCAATGTTTCCATTATAAACAAAGATCTTCAGTACCTCAGCTGAGATGTTGCATACTGCGTTTCAGACCAGATAAAATTTTTACAGCTAACTCTATAAATTGGCCATTTTTATAGTTATGGGGAGATTGAAGAGAGTTTATGCATATTTGAAGCTTTAGTAGATAATAGAATTATCTTATATCCCTAAGGACACTGTTCCAGATTTTTTTGGTAAACATTTTGTATTCTTCCAAGAGATCCTTAGAAAATTATATAAAATTAAAAAATACATTGTTAACTAATATTAAAAAGACTGAGCTTAAGCTTTCTTCACAATAGCATGAGTTTTAAAAGTGTCCTTAAATTTGAATTTGCTGGCTCTAAATATGAACAATATATTTATCAGGAAGGTGATGGTACTTGGTGGTTCTGAATACAGGCAAATCAGATGAACTCCCTGCCATCTTTTCCTTGCCTCTTTGCCCTCTATTTTTGTTGCTCTTTTTTGATGCATGCACTATCACCACCCACTTTGGACCATACCGAGATCTCTGTTATATAACAGATTATGTTGTGAGGGTGTGATTGTACCATTTACACAGCACAGAGAGATGAGAGTCAAGCTCTACCTTTGCAATTTCCTTTTATATGAAATGGAAGGTCCCACATTCCTTACTACCTGATCAGAGTCTGAGGAAGAGGAAAATAACTTGAAACTTTGTCCACATATTTTCTTTGGAATAATGTCAGGCAAAAAAGGAACAACCATAAATAATTAACTAAAGGTGTTGGTTCAAAAAGATCCATTTGTTTCCCATTTCTGAGATTTGCAGCTATCACCACTAATTCCAAGTGCCCCACTTTAAGATGGGCCAATCTAAACACTACTGGTGTGTCATGAAAACATTCTGGCTTTGCAACGGCCGACGGAACTGAATGCCAGAAATGGTTGTGATGTTGTTATGGAGACTAACCCAAGTTAAGGGACAAAGATTTTCACCAGAGTGTTGCTTGCAGAGTACTGATAGCTGCTCTTTGAACTTTTCTAACCTCAGTTGATGTTACTGAACAGAATCTAATCTAGCCTGTACTCTCCTTCACTGAAGGAACTGTCAGGGGACCAAGACCACCTACGATAGAGACTAGCTAACTAGAACATTTTCAGCAGATGTTGTATGGCAGCATAATAGTCTTTGTTCTGAATTCCCAGCCCATATCTTGGACACAGCTCTGAGATTAAGTAGTGAAAGGAGGACAAACTGTTACATTTTCTAATGTCTTACATATTTGTCTGATCCAGCAAGATTTACCAAAATTCATCCATAGTTTCCAGTAGCAGTCTTTTGCCTATCAGTTTATCTTCAAATGCTTCCATCTGAAGTCCAATATATGTGTAGGAATTATTGGAAATAATCACTCTAAAGAGTTAGATTTTGCCACTTCCAGCACTTTCAAATGGATTTCCATTGGGCAAATGGAGGAATATGACCCACTGTATTTTGTTCATTTGCAACAGGCTGACAATTCACTCTTTTTAGTGATGAAAGGACAAAATATTTTCCTGGCTTCCTCCTTCCCAGGTGGAAAAGGAAATATTACTGTGAAAAACCCTGCCTTTTGTCATGCAAAATATTAATTTTTGTTACATTTTATGGAGAACTCATATATTGTTTTGCATTGCAGAAAAATCTAATTTTTACCAGCATTGAGAGGGAGTTCTGAGCAAGGAGGAATTGCAGGATCTGGCCCTATACTGCTTTTTTTAAAAAGTTAATCTTGCAAGGATTTATGCATGCATTTAATACTATGCGATCTGAGCAGTCCCATTAACTTTCATGAGACTACTCCCATGTGTAAAGTGAAGCATTTGCACAAATCCTTATGGGATAGGAGCCTTAATATGAAGTTGAATATATTGCATAAATTGCATTGTAAGATCTGCAGATAATGAGCAACTATACAAAGCTTAAATCTTCTTAATGCACTTTGACGTAAAAAGTATATGCTTTCCAGCTGATGATATATTTACCTGTATCTGATTCTCTTAACCCCGCTGTTAGCCTCAGGCTTTTCCAACTGCATGAAATCAAAAAGTGTTTGGCAGGTTTTTTAAACTAGTACTTTTTGGTTGAGACATTTGCTTTGGCTGAGGCAGCTAGCCCTTCCCCATGAGAAAGAAATAAGAGCATTCATGCAAGGAAATTGCATGCTACAATCCATCTGCTTTCTGCAGAGAGGAGTGTGAAGGCTTATGCCACTTGGCACTCATTTATTTTGTTGTTAGAGAGGTAAGAACCCTCATATCTTTCAGTGCCAACAAAGTTGACATTATTCTTGAATGCTGACACATAAACCAAAGCTCCAAGTACACAGTTGACCTAGCAGCTGTTTTTCTTCCTTGCACCATTTTAACAAGAAGATGATCCAAGCTGACCGTTTCTTTTTCCCTCCTTCATAAAAGCACGGAAATTATTAAATATTGAAATTAAAATATATTGTAAAAAAATTGACCAAGAAAAACGTATTTTGACAAGGCTAATATGCACTTGAGGCAGTCCAGATAATTTCCCAGTGAGAAAGCAGACCTCCACTTCTCTCAGGAGACAGTTGGACAAGTTAGTCACCACAGACAGTGAGAATACTTGACTCGCCACTCAAAGTAATTTTTATTGGCTTGCAGAGCCCATTGTTATGCGACAGCCTTCACTTGATACCTCACAACTAAATATGCTTGAACAGATGGAACAGGTTGGCCTAGCCCTGCAATGCTCTGCCATGATGGGGAAGTCTAAATAAATCTCTCCATGGTAAGATCTCAGCACAGCATGGAGGAGATGGAGAAGCACAAACCCTAACATACAGACAGACTTTGGGACTATCTTACAAATGTTTGGACTGAAAAACAGGGATGTGCCCTAAATAGAGCAAGCAATGTCTCTTATAACTTATTCAGACACAAAAAGAAGGTTTACCAGCCCTCTCTTGCAAATTAATTTGGAAGTGCCAGTGTCCCTTAGAATAGGGGTTCTCAACCTTTTTCTTTCTGAACCCCCCACCCCCCAACATGCTATAAAAACTCCACGGCCCACCTGTGCTACAACAACTGTTTTTCTGCATATAAAAGCCAGGGCTGGCATTAGGGGAAAGCAAGCAGGGCAGTTGCCTGGGACCCCACACCACGGGAGGCCCAGTGAAACTAAGCTGCTCGGGTTTTGACTTCAGCCCCGGGTGGTGGGATGAGGGCAACGTGGGCTTTCTGCCCTTGGCCCCAATGAGTCTAATGCCAGCCCTGTTTGTTGGACCCCCTGAAACCTGCTTGTGGACCCCCATGGGGCCGTGGACCCCTGGTTGAGAACTGCTGCCTTAGCAACACACTGGCTCCTTCTTGGCATGTACACTTTTTGCTTCAAAGAACAGCTGAAATCAGTCAGCAGTAGAACCTTTTACTGTAATAGATTTAAACTTCCTCTCCTGGAAATTGCACTTGTTTTTGACTGCCCCTTCTGCCAGAAAAAGAGGCGAGACTACAAGCAGAGTTGTCTCCTCTTCCACTCAGAAAACAGTTTACGTTTACCCTCCCTTTTTTCCTTCTTACCAAAAAACTGTTTGTGCTTTAATGTCAGTTACATAATTAAAATGAAAACCTCTGTTTTTGCTAGGAATAGAGGTTCCAATTGGCCCTTCTCCAGCTGATTAAGAAGTTAACTGGGTTAATGGTGGGAAGGAAAGAATCCAGGTTCCTTCATTACACTGGAGATCAAGCTATTTATATTTGACATCCTCACGCTCCTTCCCCCTTGCAAAAGTAATACCATGCTGGATTCTATTACGGATCTTGTTCTCTTGTGCAAGCTTCCCCTGCAAACTCTTCTCCTTTCATCCCAAAACAAGAATTGGCAGAGCTGGAGATGACTCATTTTGCATGTTTCTTGATGGCTAAACTTCAGCTTCCATGTTTACCATGTGGAGACTGGCAACCAACATAGGACTAACTGCTCCAGTGAAAATTGAGACAGCTTCTTTCCCTTGAGCAACAGCGCCAACAGTACTTCACTTCTATTAACTCACCATTTTGTGAGCCTCTCAGTACTCCTCTGCCCCTTGAGTTCAAGCACTAGATCATTTCATAGTAAGCTGTAAATATGCAGTTGATCTCATATAGGCTGGGTGAGTCAGAGAATAATGTGTAAATTACACCTGATGGTTCAAAGCTTTGATGGTGAGAGAAGGATTTTTGGATAATTGCAGACCAGGAAATATTGAGTCATCTTCTCTCAAACAAGATTGAAATGTGGACAGACAGCCTGATGCATGCTTCCACGCAGGCCCCAGCCACCCTTCAACTGTTGTTCAGATTACGCCCTGCCTCCAGACTGGCATCACTAGGGAATCTGAGAAGGGTGCAGCACTGAACTTTCAAATTCTTATGAAGCATGAGAGAATTAGCATTCATGACATGAGGCTAGAGAAAATTCACCATAAATAGCTTTTGTGGGTAACCCACCTCCTTCATAAAGCTTTTCATCAAAAATGTGTACATGCTACTCTTTGTTTCTTAAATTCATTGCCATCTGTATTCATGTCTTTAGATGAGAACCCTCAGGAGCAGAGATTTGGGTTTTGTTAGGTAGAGTTTACCTGTGTTAGAGCCCCATATACATATAGTCCAATGCCCCAGTTTTGCTTTGACATAAGGCATCTGGCATAGAGGACCAAATACTGATACCACCGAGTAGTTGAGATCAATGATACTGTCCAGTTATTACTTGATGTTAGTAAGGGTGTTGGAATCTGGCCCTTACTGACTCTCATGCTCCTCTGGAATGAATGTGATCCCTTAATTATGTTTTGACGTAGAGTATTTTACAGTCATGATAGAGAATCAACATCTTAAACCAAGTTTCTCCTCTATTTTTGTGAGCTGTTGTCTAACCAAATTACTGACACAATAAATAATCTGAATAGTGATTCAAAGTCACTAAACAATTCAGCAAATCAGTAAAATACATCATGTCACAATTTTACTAATTATTCCCCTTTTTATTTACTTTATTGATGATTGTCCATCACTTCTAAGAATTTGTCTTCCTGAGCACTAATCACTCTACGCTTTAAGGAAGATTTTGTGTTCTAAATCTTCTCTTTTTGTTTTTGCTGGCAGCATGCATTTGGCCATATGCTCTGCTTATACTGGCTGCCAAATTCTTGGATTCTCAGGCTTGTTAAGCTGTGTAAAATGTTGTTGTTGACTTGAATGAGAAGAAAAGTAAGTGAATGATTGCACTTGTTGTTATGGCCATCTGTGTGTGAGAACCAGGCCTCTCCCCTTGACAGGAACTGTTAAAACAGACCAACTACAGTGTGAGTGGAGTGTAAAATAATTACTGGTTCTAAAATATCTCCTGGCACCCACATTTCATCAGTGTAACTGTTATAGGAATGATGAAAAGTAAGGGCCAAATTCTGCTGTCCTTAACCTCAGTGGGAATCTTTCTTAAGGACTGGAGAATTTGGCTCTGAGGTATTAGGG